TGTATTTGTGGATGTACAGTTTATGAGTTTACACATCGATGTATGTATGCTTGTATGAATGTGTTAATGTATAATTCATGAATCTGTGTGTAGCTGATGAGGCCTCTTGGCCGAATTAGACAGACTCGACGACATCAATGTCCTCTAGTGCAGGAGATTCTGAAAGTCACCGACCAGACGGAGGCTTTAGCGACAGAGCATTGCATACGCATCAGAGAATGGGCTGGCAACGGCGTCTTGTAGCAACATGTGGGAGCGCCAGTCATGCCACTTTCAACCGCGACTTTTGGGCAAAACGATCAGATGACTTGGTACAAATCCTCAAAGTCTGCCTCAGTCAGGGCTGCTGTACCGCAGAATGTAATTCGGAGCAAAAATCAAATCAAGTCAACTCAAAAAATCCCACAGTTTTGCACACAATCGACTTTCACTAACAAAAGTCAGCAAAATTGAGCGATTTGTAAAGCATTTCGTGGTGGGCCAGATGTTAGCTATTAATTCTGGATGGTTCGATGAAACGATAAATGCATATTTATTTATTTATTTATTTTTTATTTATTTATTCGGATAAGATTAGTTGAGCTGGATCGTAGATGGAAAGGTAAAAAGATGAATAGAGATAAATTGATAGGCGCACGGCTGTCGCGTAGTGAAGTTTGTAAGAAGCTTAAAAAAAGAATAAATGATAAGTTGAGATGGTGTATTTAGTTACGCGTCAAGTTGAATGGATGCAAATATTGAGTGGAAAAGTAGGTACTTTGGTGAATAGACGAAATGACAGATACAGACGCATAAGTTGCTCGTTTGATTGAATGAAATAAGTATAAATAGAAATGTAGAAGTTGCATGAATGAAAGCATTTGTAGAATAAATGTTACCAGATTTGACGAATTTACTGAAGAAGCATGGTTGTGATCATTTTCGGGTTGAGTAAAAGTCTATGAAGATAGTCTTTCTCCTGTTTTATTCATACTTTAAGTCCTATTTCTTATTGTCATCGTTTATTTGAGAAAAGATATTATTTTATTATTAGTTCTTATAGTTACCAACACTTAACTTATCTTATCTCATTTCATCTCCTCAGGTGGCATCCTACTCCATTCATCTTTCAACCTAAATAATCTCAAATATGAAGACCAAAATGTTATAGCCCTTAAGTAGACAACATACATTGACAACGTCCTCGAGTGTGAATGAGAGGCTATGAAGAGGAT